ACTCTATTAAGGGCTTCTAAATTACATTTTATGATAATAACATGTAATAATTACAATTACATTGTGGTAAATAAAAGACATGACCAAAGATCATTTTTATTAATGTTTTAATACAAATTTTAGATCTCTATCGAACCTAGATAATTGTTTTAGCGGAAGTTTTCGCAACAAAGATATATATATATATATATATATATATATATATATATATATATATATATATATATATATATATATATATATATGGATCAGATGATATTAATAAATATTTAATTAAGTCATAATTACTTCGGCGTCTTGAAATTTTCATTGTATGCCAGTCTAACTTTTCTTATTTCTTTATTTTTAGTCTCGGAAGCTTCTTCGGACATTTGGCCTAATGGTATTAGTGAATTTTTTATTATATCTGCTCCATATAGCAATATTTTTTTAACTGGTATGTTATACTATGGATACAAACTTAAATACAGTTCCCTAGTCTTTATACAGTAGTTCTGAAATTTAACAGTCAGGCTCATAACCAGACCAAACAGCTGCAAGAATTGTCCCAAAATTGTGAATGAGCTCTTCATTAAGTTAAGTGATGCGTGCTGTGGTCGTATAATTATAAAAAAATACTCTTGCGGTATTTACATCGTTAATGGTATTAAATCCTGGTTTTACTATGTCAATAATGAGACCAACTTCCGTAAATTTTTCTTGATTTTATCTTAGCTCTTTTTAAACATTTCTTTTTTATCGTGTCCTCTTGCTTGCCACTCACAAAAATCTTGACGATAATTAACATTTAAAATGCATTCCATCGTACGAATGTAGGCATGTAAGCTAGATATTCCAAACTGGTACATATTATGGTCTGGCTCTTTCGTTATTAATGTATTCATTTCTTTAGATTGTGCCTTACAGATAAAACATCGTTGTGTTGATTTATTGTCAATTAACACATTGCACACTTTACCATCAATCATTGTCAGAATCATTTGATGCGTGACCGAGATGGTAACGCCTCGTACTTCGATAATAGTTGGAACCAATTCTTGAATTTGTTTTTCAAGCGCTCTATATTCGTCTTTTATCAGTGCTTTGATTTCTTTCTTATAAATAAATTTAAGTACTCCACAGAATCTTGGTGATCATCATCATCATTCAATCTTCGCTTATCCACTGCTGGATATAGATCTCCCTCATAATTTTCCATCTATTTAGATCTTGTGCCTTGGTGATGCTGGCCGAGAATTTTGCCATATGGTCTCTTGTAGATTGTTCACAAGTTTTATTGGAACTAATGATATTACAACCATATACTCATCTGTGCTGTCTGTATCCTCAAACGATTGCTTATACAAACTATGTCCTGATAACCATCACACCCCCACTTGTATATTAAAGAATAATTTTGCATGTTAGTATCTAACCTTTCCCCTATGATATTCTTGCATATTCTCATTGCAGTATGATTCAGTAGAACAACCAATCTTACGTTCGCCGATATATCAGTTACTGTAATATTTTCAACTGAAGAATAACACTGCTCTTTTACATTTGCTACGTAATAACATGGGTATGCATTAAATCCCCTCTCTTTTGCCTCTGGTTGCACATTCTTATAAGATTGAACAGTAAAATTGTTTGATACGAAAAAGGCCAAAGCTTCTTCAGGTGTATATGATCTTTGTTTTATTTAAACTAATTTTTTTGTTTTATGGTAAGTGGACGCACGTTTTGGTGAGGCTGACGATACTTCTTCCATCAACATAGCAGCATAACGTTTGCCACTCGCTCGGACATTTAATTGTACAGCAAAAGATAACTGGTCTTTACTGTAGTCACTTAGTAAATGTTGAATTTTCCTCTTTTTTGTCTTTTTGGAACTATCTATAAAAGTTTTTGTGGTCTACCGCTACTAGTACTTGGTTTTGGAGATTGATTTGCTAATATCAGCATATCGAAAGTTAAATTTTTGTTTAGCCATTATTCGTACTCATTTAAGAACAAGTCCAGTTGTCTCCGCTTCTGAACCCATTTCACTCGAATTTTTTCGCATCCGATTTTTAAGAACACCTTTAGCTGCTTCTCTTGTTCTTGATCTACAACAAAATCATCAAAACTCACCTTCACAAAGTTTATTACTGCATTTAATCGACCTTTAGTCGGTATAGAACGCTAAAATTCAAATACCGATTTGTGCTGCATTTTTGCACCTGTATGAATAAAATAAAATATGTTAATGATCGTAAAAAATCGCAGGAAATAGTAATTATATTATGAAAATGTACTAAATAGAGAATAGTATAAGATCATAAAAACAGCTTTACTACACTTGACAACATTGTATATCTAGATGAATGTTACGTATGACAAAAACATAAAACAGTTTTAATGACCTATTTTATATTGAGTATTATATATTTACAAACAGATTATTGTCTATATTTTATTTAAGTAAATAATTACCTCTAGATGTCGAATCCATCATAAAAAAGCACTTAAAATTGCACAGAACTCCAAGAGACATGTACACACGTTAACGCTAGCGCTCATACTGAGCGGTCAATCATCTACCTGTAAAGGGTGCAGGTAGTTTCGGCCATTGTTTCTAAAAGATACGCAACATGGGGTCTTTGTTTTGTATTATCGGTTAAAGTATGTATTTAAAAGTGAAAATCAAGTGCTTAGACGTAGTTATGACAACATAATTTAAATACCTTTTGGCCACCTAGATTAGTCAAATCGTACACTGTGTGACAGTGCGAATTGCAGATTTTGACAGACTGAAAACGATACGGCGGAACACGTTCTGTGCAACTAATTATATAAACATAAACAGATAATTCCATTGGAATCCGCCAACCACACTCCATCCGATCAGCAGGTATAAATAGGCATGCACTTGTTTATAAATGAAATTAAAATCTCATCAAAATCATTTGTCACATGTCATCTAAACATTTCTATATACCATGTAGCTTCGCCTATCTTCAAAAATTTTAAAGTGTTTGTTTGTCTTTGAGTAGTATATTGTTAAGTGCCATTTTATTTTTATGACATTCTATTCTTGTCGGATAGGCCGCAATTGACGAAATGCCCCTGAGGATGATCTAGTGATCGAAAGTACTTGGACAAGATTTAATTAATACTGTGTTCGATATTTACCTTGTATATTTTCAAAGTTCATTTATTCGAGCAATCAACCTTATATCGAAAAAAAGAACAATTTTAGAAATTAGAGAACCTAGAACGTTTATTCAAGCCTCAGATATTATATCTAGATCTAGTTCTACAGTGATCAAAGAATTCAATCTTAAAAATCCTTTTAACAAATTTAATAAAGGTAAACCCAATTTTCAAAATCACAAAATATTGGCATATATCATAACCAAAATTTTAATGTTAATCATAATTATAACCTTAAAAATGTCCAAAATACTACAAATAAACATTTTTAACAAAATCGACCGTTTCAAATTTTAATCATCAATATACAAATATGCATTCTTATTCGCATAATCCTAATTTTAACCAACCCAGTAATTCCAGGCGAACATTTCCTAGGCAACCTGTAAATATTCAGTCAAAACTAATTCACAAAAAATATTTTACGAAGTGTTCGGTAAGCCAAAACATGTTTTCGATAAAAAAAAATGCTCCAAAAAATACATATCAACCAGAACCAATGTCCACCACATCTTAGCACATACCACCTTAGCAGAATGCATTCTGCTAAACGAAAATTTCAATTTCAACAAAGGGCTTCTCCTAATTTTCAAGTAGAAGAACTTTAGAATCTTTCAGAAGACGAATTGGAGAATAATATATATTCATGTTCCTATTCTCAAAATTATCGTTATTCGAAAAATTACGAATACATATCCCAAGATCCAGATCAGTCAAATTTTCTCGAGCGTATTCAGCTAAATCCAAACGATTAGGAAAACAAATCGATCTGAATTAGTCCAGGCTGTGAGGCCGCTCCCGTTGGGAAAATGTTTCTGATTCGGTTTCTTCGCGGATTCCGGTTCAAAAATGTCCCCTTTAAACAAATTTGAAGGGTGCCAGGCGAAATTTTTGGGCAGAAATTGTTTAAACAATTTTTTTAAACAAAGTCCAAAAATATTTTTTTTAATCTGGAAAACGTTTTTTTAGGTTTTTTTTGGACCATTTTAAACAAAAAAAGTCTCTTGTCATTTTTCTCTAAAGTTGATAGTTTTCGAGTTATAAGCGATTTAAAGTCTGAAAAACGCGAAAATACGCATTTTTGAGGCTTGAAAACACATATGTAAATTATTATTTTTGAGGTTACCAAGTGTCTAAATTAAAGTTTAAACATTCAACTTCAAGATTGTGACGAGTAATCGGGGCTTATTTTAATTTAGACCGTTGTTTTTTAATTGTTAAGTATGCGCGTACACTCGATTTTTCAGCCGCCGCGGCGCGGCGCGCTAGAGTGCGTTTCTATCGTACTTATGCATAGTTTACATATACTTACAAATAATTTGCAAGGCAAGGTATGACACTTTCAACACCCATAAGAAGGTTAAAGAAATGATTTCAGGAAATCGTAACAAACCAATCGGGATATTAAAAAATGCAGATGGTACCACTATAACTGAAACGCAAGACAAACTACGTAGATGGAAAGAATACATTGAACAACTATTTTATGATCAAAAAGTAGAACAATTATTAGAAGTTAACGGAGAAACCACGGGACCAGAAATAATGAAAGAGGAAGTTATGTATGCTATAAAACACACAAAAGGCAGAAAAGCTCCAAGACCGGATGAAATACCAATTGAACTATTGAAGATAATTAATGAAGATAATATTGATGTCTTGGTAGACCTTTTTAACTCCATATACAAGACGGGACACATACCCAAAGAGTGGCTTCTCTCAACTTTTGTGACGATTCCAAAAATCACAAATGCTAAAGATTGCAACGACTATCGAACAATTGCGTTAATGAGCCACACATTGAAAACCTTCCTTAAAATCATACATAACAGAATCCACATGAAATTAGAACAAGAAATAAGTGATTCACAGATGGGTTTCAGAAAGGGTCTAGGAACTAGAGAAGCATTATTTGGAATCCATGTTCTGACACAACGATGCCTGGATATGAATCAGGACATATATGCTTGCTTTATAGATTTCAAGAAAGCTTTTGATAGAGTTCAACATGAGAAGCTTTTAAGTATTCTTAAGACTAAAAACATTGATAGTAGAGATCTACAAATTATATCGAATATGTATCAAAACCAGAAAGCAAGAGTAAGAGTCGAAGGAGAACTGACAGAGGAAGTAAGTATACTTAGAGGAGTTCGACAAGGGTGTATCCGTTCACCACTATTATTCAACGTCTACAGTGAAGTGATTTTTCAAGAGGCTTTATTGGATATCGTGGAAGGTATTTATGTCAACGGAAATAGCATTAATAATATTAGATATGCCGACGATACTGTCATATTTGCAAGTGACATGGAAGATCTACAGTACATAATACAACATGTATACAATGCATGTGAAAGTTACGGACTGCAAATGAATCTCAAGAAAAGGAAATCAATGATATTCTCAAAAAAACCACAAAATGTAAATAACCTGATCATCAATAATACAACGATAGAAAGAGTAAAAACATAAATATTTAGGAACGTGGCTAACCGAAGATGGAGATCAAGTAAAGGAGATCAGATCTAGAATAGAAATGGCAAGAAACACGTTCATAAAATTGAAGAAATTACTTTGCAACCGTAACCTTAATCTAGAGATTCGCACAAGAATGCTACGTTGTTACGTCTTCTCTACTTTACTATATGGCATGGAAGCGTGGACAATAAAGCAGTCTGAAATCAAAAAATTAAACTCCTTTGAGATGTGGTGCTACAGGAGAATGCATAAAATATCGTGGATTGAAAAAGTAACTAATATAGAGGTGTTACAAAGAATGAAGAAAGAATGTGAAGTCATAAAAACTGTTAAAATTAGAAAGATTCAATATCTGGGACATTTAATGAGGGGTGAGAAGTACGTATTACTGAGGTTGATTATGCAAGGGAAGATACAAGGGAAGAGAAACCCAGGACGACGCAAAATGTCCTGGCTAAGAAATTTGAGAGAGTGGTTCGGCTGCAGCTCATTAGAATTATTCAGAAATGCGGCCAACAAAGTTAAAATAGCGATGATGATTTCCAACCTCCGCTAGGAGAAGGAACCCGAAGAAGAAGAAGACAAATAATTATTATTTATTGAGTACATATTTATTTATATCAATTGAGTTATAATATAAATTTCGTCTAAAGTCTAATAATAGTTACATAAAATAATTGTACAAAAGATTGTTAAATAACACACTAATATCACTCAGTAAAAGTATCTTTGTTTTCACAAAAATCTAAATCACATCCACATAATGGTACACAGTTGACATGATTTT